AAAACTACACAATGACAGAAAAATATTAAGAAAAATATTAAAAACAATAACTGAAAAAGTGACGAAGTCGGAACCTTAAGACCTAACACGATACCTAAAGACCGATGGAGCCTAAAGACGAAGAAAAGAAGAAACTTGATGCCAAAAGACCAAATATGAACCCTGAAGACCGAAGTCGAAACCTGAAGACCAAAGACGAAGCTTAAAGACAAAAAACGCAGACAAAGAAAGAAAACCATAGCAAAAATACATACAGAATATAATTTTCGATTTGTAAACAACTAAGGCAATTGATTCAGATAAAATAAGAAATATACAACCATTATTAGATACTCTATTATGATTCAACACATATGGCTCTTAGGTATGTTTGTTTATTATTTAGAAACATTAAATTATTATTAAATATTATATGGGAAATTAATTGGATTTTTTTTCAGACTCAACTATCCAAACGGTGATCTACACTTACTAAGTGCGACAAACTGAATAAGAAGATGCACACAGACACATGTGAAAGTATGAATCAACAATGTCGGCGGTATTTACAATCTATCAAAAATTTAAAAAGACCAATGGAGCCTAAAGACTTAACACGATGCCAAAAGACCGATGGAGCCTAAAGAACTAACACGAGGGAAAAAGACTTAACACCAGGGAAAAGGACCAAACACGATGTAAAAAGACCAACGACGAACACTGAAGACCGAAGATGCAGTCTGAAGACCGAAGTAGAAGCATGAAGACCAAAGACGAAGCTTAAAGTCCGAAAACGCAGGCAAAGAACGAAAAGCATAGCAAAAATACACAATAAAATTTTTGATTTATGAACAACTAAGGCAGTTGATTCAGATAAAATCAGAAAAATGAAACCATTACATACTCTATTATGATTTAACACACATGGGCATTAGGTATGTTTGTTTTTATTCAAAAAATTTTGTTTATTTTTAAATATTATATGGGAAATAAATTGATTTCTTTTTCAGATAAATTTATGCAAACGGCGATGTCTTCACTTCGTGTGACAAACCGAATAAGAAGATGCGTACAAATAAATGTGATTCTTACATCAAAGTACGAATCAAAAGTGTCGGCGACGTTCGCAATCGTTTAAAAATTAAAGAAAACAATATATATACTCGCATTATTGAATTTTATTTTGTCATAGTAATTTCGACCAACATGTATTATTCCATGAGTCATCGTCATCTCTTCGTGAAGACATGCAGTTGTGATGCAGGCGAGTTACGCGTGTAGAGCTGTCCGCGGGGAAACTATTGCTGCTGCTTATGTGAGGTCGCTGGGTCTCGCGGCAACTTACAAACCGGCAAGAGTTCCGGTTATCAGCCCACTAGGTAAAGCTTAGGTAATTACGTCAAAATTTCAACACTAAAAATCAGTAGGCCCCTGTACAGGCTATCGTGTGTATACCATTTCTTTTAAATCTCAGATCCTGGATCTCACGACTGAAGCTGCCAAAGCAGACTGTAATCGAATTGAATTTTTTATTGTGCTGCCTTCGCCTTCCAACCAAGCACATAAGCATAAGTTGCCCGGCAGGAATGACGGCAAGTCAAAGTGATCCTATCGTCTACATTGAGTATACATGACGCAGCATAATATGGCAGTTATTGTTAAAATAATAGTCAACATGCAGACTGCAGCAATTAAACTAGTTTCACCAATGCAGCAAATACAACGGTAATAAGTTAACTTACAAGTGAACATGATTTTGAAATACTAAGTACAGTACATTACGATTATCTCTATATCATTAAGACCGATTTATACCTCACAAATGTATTATTAGAAAAATTTAAAACAAAATATAATTCAGATTAAGAATGTGGAACGTAATAACTGTGGGCTGATGTATATCCGGGACTATCCAAGGCATTGCGTAACTGTTACCTTTCAAAGGATTCCATGTAATTACGAAAAATGATATGTTAACTTGATGAACTATGAAAGAGGGACTTAATATAATGGTAAGTAAGCCAACATCCAAACGTAGGTTTAAAATACTGTTAAGCAATACTAAATTAACAATTTCTTGAAACGAACAATTTAAGGAACTGATATGTATGTGTGCATTTCACAGCTAATACTGCGCTATTGACTCACCATGTTCTATAACCTATTATTCTAAATGTAACGAAAGCAATGTTGTGAGGTCTTTACGAGGAAGGTTGATACTGTTCCGGAACTCTGAAATATATACTAGATTATTACTACGCCAAAAAGATGCAATAATAATCTATAAAATTATCATAAACTTACGAAAAATTTAGATCCTACCTGTATATCTTCTGGATTTGCTTAGGTAAGTAGTCACTAAACTATCGACGCTTAAACTCAAATTTGACATTCGAGTACAGTCTAACTGATGTGGCCCATTGACACCTACATCTATGAAGCATTAAGCTGCTATTTTACGCTATTATTCTGTGAGCGAGGTACCATTCTCCAGTCAAGCCTAATTATTACTCAAGTATACCACTTTATTTTCAAAATATTATGTACTATATTTTTCTTTGGTATAAAATTTTTGCTGGTGATGATCACTATCACTACAGCCTCATCCATAGATTGCCACAAAGTTCGGCCCTGTGTAACCTGCATTCTGTGATGATGATGATGATCATGAATTATGTATTTACTTCATAGGATAACTTCATATATTTACAACATGTGTCGTGCATGATTGTAAATTTGCAACATTTATCCTTTCAGATTATCAAAGGATAATATTAAATATTGGTGGTATACAGAAATGTAGTTAAATACATGTACATATGTACAGACTACCTTTTTAATACAGAAAATATTCCGGGAATGGTGCATTAAGATCAATTTGCTATAATGCACAATATCAGATATATTGAAATGCATGTGGAAATATTGCAAGTGCACCACCAACTGTCGTTGATGCATTACACGACTGCTTTTATACAAAAGCAAGTATGACCGCAGCGGCAGGAAAATATCCCAATACATGTGAGACTACTGTTGAAAATTTCTGTTGCCATGCCAAAGAAGCTTTTGTAAACTCGCCCGCTGCGGCCGTGTCACAGCGCGTCTGCTTGCACTCAATCACTGCTGTAGTCTCTCCGCGTTATCTACATCTGTCATAAGTATACATGACCCCTACTCTTGCGATATTGTGCGTCCGGCATTCGGTGGCTATCTGCATAGTACACGCTGACGTCCGACCGCTGCCACAGAGCGTCCGACCTTGGATTGTCGTTGCTGCATCACAGTACGTGCAACATTCAACCACAGCTACGTATCTAGTACAAGATTGCGCCTGGCGTGGTCGCATTACGTCTGAACGATGATTGCTGTTGCTACAACTCCTCGGTAACGCCTGGCGTTGCGCCGTGTCGCAATACGCGCCATATACGACAGCTGTTGCCGACCAGAAATAACTGCCATGTGCGTCTGCTGCTACACAATACCTAGGTAATATATAATCAAAGACTTCATATTTCAAGTAACGCACTTCAGTCTAGAATATTTGAGATCGCTTATCAGCGTCATATTTAATATAATCTAAAATTCGCTAAGGAATTACCTGAACGAAAACGGCAATTCCCATGGAGGTCGTCGCATATCGTAACAGCTACCTATTTTAAGAAATTGATAACTCATTGAGGCTCAAAGGCTAGACTTTAGCCAGTTAGAAGCGATACTAATCCCGAATTCTCGTGAGTTTAATGAAAAATTACTTTTGGGTTTACATTAAAAAAGAACTTGGACCGCTATGTGTTTCTCCCTACTGGTAACTATTTCAGATTTTAAGTAACTTTACATTTCTAAAATTCCTGCACGGAAATCACAAATAAGCTGCATCAGGCATGGTCGCTGTGGCCGCATCGTGTCGTCTTTAAATTGTCCGACGGCGACCCGCTGCTATTTCACTGCTTCGTGAAGCATCCGAGGCTAAGGTACTATCATTTATATCACAGGTAGACGAAACCTCTGGCTAAATTTTGCACTGTACATTCCGATGAAAATAAGTATTTGGCCTTTTAATGCAAATTGTGAGATTAACAACTACCTCATATCTCATTACCGGAGTGGAGTTTAATGATAGAAAATTATATATTTGACCGTTCCTGCTGGCCTTGTATTAACAGGTATTTGATTCCAAATTTCCATAATTTAACAAATCAATAAAAGAATATGCGCTAGTAATATACAGATCATGAAAAACTAATCAATCTGCTGCGGCACTCCAAAATGAAACTTATCGAAGCTGGCTCCGCAGATTTCACTCTTACAAGTAAATGCTCAACATATAATTGTTTCACTAGTTCCGGAGTTGCTGCATTCCTCCACGTTTTGATATACTGAGGCAAGTGGAAACTGCTATAATTATTTTGCTGAGTCACAGCAACAGTGCTAGAAGTAGTAACAATAAAACAATACATGAAGAAGCAACTGAATAGTTAAGAGATAACCGAACTTCTAATCGCCGCTACAACCTAGAAAACCGCGATTTCATTTGAGCTGAGGACGAAGTAAGCCCTTATAATTTTAAGTACAATTAATTTAACTTATTTGAACGTCTAGAAATTTGGTAGCGACATGAAGGTGGCAATTTAGATTGCAATGTACATCGTCTCCTGATCATCTTAAAGTAAGTGCATGGTAGTGAATTTATTCTTTTTTAACAAATCAGACTCTTCGTAAGGAATGTGCGAAGTAATTGCGAAACTTTTGTGGGATTTACTCGATATAGCCGACACTTCAAACTTCAGGTAGTTTCATATCATAAATTAGTATTTGGGCTGTAGTTACATACTACTTGCATATTTAAAGAATGTATAGATTTGATGACATGATTTGCATGATCTTCTATTCAGTTGAAAATTTGTATAATTAAACTTAAATGCATTTGTGACCTAAACTGACTAGCTCATTCTTATGAACGCCTCAGACGATTTGGGATTCTGCTAAATGGTGCTGCAAATGTAACAGATAAAATATTTTCGGTTAATTAAGCTCAAGTAGTGAAATTAAATGTACACTACACGATACTCGGTAACAAAACAAAGAAAAACACTTGAAAATAATATTGCAACATTTTGAATGATTAATCCGGAGACAGAAGCGGATTTCCTTAGCAATGGTAATCACTCTCATACATAAGTGTTCATATTTGTTTTTAATTTTTATAAAGCAATTCCGTTTATATAATGATATCATAAAATTATTACTGGTCGCTCGGCCCGATGTCCTTTTATTGCTTATAAATTTTTCAGAAATCTTCAACATTTTTTTGGATGATTCAAGTAAGAAATCCGTATGTTATGTGTGTTTGAATGACATTAAATAATAAGTAATAGCATTAACTGTGGTGGCAACAGTGTTTAAAATAGAATGCTGAATGAAAATGAAATTGAGTTACTAAATTTAGGCTATGCCTACACAACAAGAAATAAAAAATAAAAATTGTTCTATTTGGGGGTAGCGGCCCCTTTTTCTTAATAAGATCGTTACATAGTTTTGCAGACTGTGATTGCAGTTTGTCATCCTCTGCTGCGATCATTCGCTTACAACAATGAGGTACTACATTTTTACCATGAAGATTACTATGGTGCGACTAAATATTATATGGTACAAAGTTCTCTTTAATTTGACAGTAAAGTTGATCATCCTCCGATATTATAAGTAATTAAAGTTTTGAAAAGTTTTCTTTGTGCACTCTGGGCTTGGGGCCCTTGTTTTTCTTAATTTGCTAGTTTTATTTCCCCCAGGTGGTGACAACCGAAAAAAGTTATTTTGCGTTGTATTTTTATATAGAAATATTGGCAGGTCGCTTACTCCATCATTGAGGTAGTATGGCGCGCTTAGCGTTACGGATGTTTTCATTTTACAGAAACTATAAAATATCGTCAGCTGAGTCGGAACTTCGAAATTGAAAAAAAGTGGAATATAACTTCGCGATATAATTTCCGTCCAATAGGTAATTTAACTCATTGAAAACAATAAGCAGCTAAAAGCTTTGCCATAAAATACACATATAACAGTACCATTTTTGGTTCCTTCGATCCAAAAATGGTACTGTGTTTAGTTTTAAGTGTTTTTCAATGTACAGTGTATTACTGTAGCCGCAAACTTAACCGCGCTGCGAGTATTCGCCTGCCATTGCCGCGTCTGCAACCTGGGATCTGCTCAGACTGTCGGCGACCTTACTGCACGTGTTGTAAGTCTTCGCCGGAGTTTGTTCTATGTTACCAGTTGCTGATGGTGCAAATTGCGGCTGTTGGATGTTTCTACACAGGAACGATCGTATTTGTTGCATTCGTCATTGCACACTGCCTTACTACTCCTTGTCGCCTGCGCCTGTTGCGGCACTCTTTCGATTTAGGTACCGTAGTTTCTCCAGAGGTAAGCAGCCACTGACTCGTAAGATGCAATAACTGTTATTTCTAGTTTCTGTCACCACTTCACTGAAGTATACTGTAAAATAACTGATACTAATTTTTATTTATTTGATAAATTAAATTGTCTTCAGATATACATAGTAGAAAGCTATTGCAAGCTTTTTTAGTAAATTTATTTTATTAATCTCAAAAGCTTTTACGTTTGCACGAAGGTCTTAATTCAGATTTAAATAATACTCGTATGCATCGAATACTGATCTACTCTAAATGGTAGCATGATATATTTGATCTGTGTGTGTGGTAATTAAATGCCATATAGAAAATGTAGCCAGTCGGATTACTGGATGCACGTTAAACTGTCGTTCAAACTTACAGGTTTGCACTACTATTGTAACATTGTGTATTAAATGTCTACCTTTGTTATATTAAATTGCATGATAGTTGCAATTCCGTGGTGGCGTGGTGAAATTTATTAAAGTCGAGTAAATTGAATACTTAATATTATATTATATCTTATTGTTTTTGTGAACTTAGACCTACATGGTCATGCATTAAAATCCTTAAAATATTCCGGAACGTTTAAGAATTTACAAATTTAGTAGTAACAGTGTATTAAAAGTAATAAACAATTAAATGTAATACATTTTATTTCAGTATATTATGTTATAAAAATTTGAAATAAAATAGAAACACTAAGCTGATGCATCAAAAGGTAGAAATAGATTGGCTAACATTTGTATTTAACGTATTTATATAACAAACTTTTTAAATCCTTTCTGCTTTATGATAATTATTACTGGGCTCTAGGCCCTTTGTCTTTTTATACTCCATTATTTTTTCAGAGATCTTCAGTTTTTGAATTAGAATTATAGGATTACTACACACAACAGTTGGAAATGTTGATATCTAGAAGATCCTGAGTTGTAGTGGCGGTGGTATGTGGTATGCTGCTTAAAACCAAAACTAAAGTTCTTGAATTTTATCTATTTGAAAATATTATCTCTACTTCATTTATATAGGGCGATAGGCCCGTTTCTCTTAAGCAAATATTTAATTTTGCAGCGGAAGTGTCTTCTAAGTTTCATTACCCTGATACAGCCATCCCGTTAGAAAAATATGGTGGCATCTCCCGACAACATGTGACGGCTGGTACTGCTAGATATTATAACACAAGTTAATTCAATTCGTTATATTTATTTCTTGTTCAAGTAAATTTACATCATCTTTACGTAGATACATTTAATAAACTGGAGTGACGACCTGGTAAGACATGCAGGAAGTCGATGGATGCAGGTGGCTCAGGACCGTGTTTTGTGGCATTCTTTGGGGGAGGCCTATGTTCAGCAGTGGACTTGTGAAGGGCTGTAATGATGATGATGATGATTTAATAAATTGCTTTATTCCTGGGCTTCACGTCCCTGTTATTCATAATCTGGTAGTTTAACTTTCTACAGGTGGCGACAATCACTGATTTTGATCCTTTTACTCACGTTGTGTTCGTACTATAGAGATACTGGCAAGTTTCTTTTACAACTTAACTTAAAACATACGACAAAATTATTTTGCCACAAAATAAATGAAAGCAACATTAGTTGGTTCAATAGGACCAAATTTGTTTAGTTGTAAGTGTTCTTCACTTCACAGTTCATCCATTAAATTTGACATCAATAAATGCGCGAGGTTGCAAGTTTTCACCACTGCCATCGTAGCTTCTTTGCCGGCCAGATCCGATCCTGGTGTTGATTTTTCTGCACGTATTTGTAAGTCTGGACGCAAATATGCTACACTTAAAAATAATTTCAAAAACGAAACTGATTGTTTTGTCATAAAATAAATAAAAGTAACATTATGTGGTTCAATAGGACCAAAAATGTTTAGATGTAAGTGTTCTTCAGTGTACAGAACATAAAATATTTTGCTGACATCAGTATGTGCGCGGCGCGGCAGAGTTTCTACCTCTGCCATTGACATCTTTTTGCATCCGTACAGATCCGGTGCAGTAGTTGGCGATTTTTTGCAAGTGTCGTTAGTCTGGTCCACTATTGCTTCACTTAAAAATAATTTTAAAACAAAACTAATTATTTTGCTATAAAATAAGTAAAATCGACAAAATGTTTAGTTGTAAGTGTTCTTTAGTGTACAGTACATCAACTATTTTGTCGTCTCCAATAACTTTTTCCACTTCTGCCATTGTTGCTTCTTTGCATCCGACCGGATCACATCTAGGTGTCGGTGACTTTTCTGCACGTAGCGTAAGTCTACTCCTAAAGTTGCTCCACTTAAAAATTTATAAACAAGACTGAATAATTTATCCAAAAAATACTTATAATTAACTATACGCTGGTTCTACAGAACCAAAATGTTTAGTTGTAAGTGTTCTTTAGAATACAGTACATCAACTATTTCGCTGACATCAATACTGCATGGGACTGCAAGTATCATCTCTGCCATTGTAACTCCTTTGCATCAAACGACAAGATCGGATCCAGATGTTGGCGACTTTTCTGCACGTGTCGTAAGTCTGCGCCAAAGTTGTTCTTTGTTGTCAGTTGCTGATGCCGTATCCAAAATATGCTGTCTTGCAAATGCGCCTCTGAAGTTGTTCTATAACAAGATCGTCTTTGCCCCTGCTTAACGTCGCCACCGGTGTCTTGCGTCGGCACCGGTGTCTGCGTCGCCTCCGGTATCAGTACTGACATTCCAGCCACCTTCGATTGATTAGGTACCCTTAGAAAAGCCTATCTTTCGTAAGCTCAATTACTTAAATACTACTCAATGTTATTACTACTTAATATCACTGACATGTAATATATATACAAAAGTATGATCATTGAGTTACATGTACTTTGTACATATAACTCAATGAGTATGATGTAATATGAGATGTTACAAATAATAAGTAGCAGACGTCTTATTCAGAGCCTTATACCTGTACGTTATACACCGCGCGCCATATTCGTATGATAAAGCTTGTTGCAGCTGTCGTCTTAACACTTGGGACAAATGTACTGCTGCAACTGCTGCGGGCTCATCCGCAAGTAACCTCAATTCTGTCTTGTAGGTTCCAAATACAAGTTTTGCTTCATATCACGGCACCGGCGCTTTTGATGCAATCCATCAATTTTGCTTCGCTGCCGTTGAAGCGGTCAGTAAACACCGCACCGCTGATGCAGTGGCGATCCACGAACACTGCACCGCTGCCGTCGAGGCAGTCCAAAAACACTGCACCACTGCCTTTCGGTTTCGGTTTGATGTCACCTTCGTCACGAAGTCACGTTGCCGCCGTGTGCGGTCATTGGTAATGCTCTCGGGGCTGTTTCTAACGCGGCGCAGCTGCCTTCGAAAAGGGCCTACAAATACCGCGCAGCTGCCGTTGAGGCGGTCTACGAACTACCATCGGGCTTGACCAACGACGCAGCGTCAGGGCTGATAACGAATAACTATTAACGACGAACATCTGCCGTCGGAGCTGGCTACCGACTTCGTGCCTCTGCCGTCAGGGCTGACCACTAACGCCGTGATCGCCTCTATGCCGTCAAGGTACCCACCCACCAAGTCGATCAAAGCCGCGCAACTGCCGTTGGGGCTGTCGAATAGCGCTGCGACCTTACCGTCGGGGCAGTCGAACAATGCCGCGAATCTGCCAGCCAGGTTGCCGACGGGGCCGGTACCAACCTCCGCGACTCTGCCGTCGGAGCTGCGGACCAACGTCGTGACCCTGCCTTCGGGGCTGCCGACCTACGCCGTATCCTGTCGTCGGGGCTGGCGGCCGTTTCGGCTCTTCTCTGCCAGTCGTCGGGTCATTCGAACAATGCCGCATATCTTCCGGCCAGGCTACCGACAACACGTGCCTTTGCCGACGGGGCGGCTGACAAATGTCGCGACCCTGCCGTCGGCGCTGCCGATCAACACCGTGACCCTGCCGTCGGCGCTGCCGATCAACTCCGTGGCCCTGCCGTCGGCGCTGCCGATTTACACCGCGACCCTGCCGTCGGGGCTGCCGACGACACCGCGACCCAGCCGTCGGGGCTGCCGACCGACACCGCGACCCTACTGTCGGACCAGACAACCGGCACCGCGACCCTACTGTCGGACCAGCCGACCAACGCCGTGACCTTGCCGTCAGGACTGCCGACCGACACCGCGACCCTGCCGTCTTGGCTGCCGACCGACACCGCGACCCTACCGTCGGGGCTGCCGACTGTCACCGCGACCCTGCCGACGGGGCTGCCGACCAATGCCGCGACCCTGCCGTCAGGGCTGCCGACTGTCACCGCGACCCTGCCGACGGGGCTGCCGACCAATGCCGCGACTCTGCCGTCGGGTCGGATGACTAACGCTGGTACTTGCCATCAGTGCTGCCCACTAACTGGCGACCCTGCTAGCTGCGCTGTCCAATAACACCATAGTCGTCGTGTACTCAGACAACTAAGCGCCGGTAACATCTGAACTGGTATGTGTAGAGTAATTACCAAACTGTCAACGGTTCTTTGTCGTCAGGCGAAGCCACCACCGTTTTAATACTTAGGAACCGAATGGTTATAAGCCATCTTCGCTCGACAACAAACGAACGAATCCAGTCCCCGTCAATACGATGTAGCGCCGCCGTCAGTGAGCCCGACAAATTACCGATTAAGGCGTCCTATTCGACGGCTAAACTCTATCCATCGAATGTGACCTTAACTACTAACGCCACAGCAACATTATTTTGCTGACTCTACTCACAAAAGTTGTTTAAACCAAAACTTTGCTTTATGGATATAATTGCAACGTAAGTTAATATTTTAAGAAATATTTTTTTAACTTGTCGATAAAATAATGTGACACGTCATTGTTCAAAATGCCTTGTGTAATATATTGTGGTATTAATTAAATCTTGTTCAAACATTATATTGCATTGTGTTGCATGAATAATGGTAATTTATTACAGAATCTGCTGAATAATAATTAAGATTTTCATACGCTAAGTATAACACAAATATTTTCTTAGATGCTCTTTCTACTAATGTATTGATTTCAGATGGCAGTATCCTTAAATTTTCTTTCTATTATTGATATACCTAGTAATTTTGTTTCGTATACGTTAATTTATACTCAAAGTTATGTTTAAGCTGTACACATATATTTTTTATTACTTTTATACTTGTCTCAATATATTTCAGCAAAATAACTTTTTATTCTAGCGAAAACATTCCGTAAGCATTTCTGAAAATGAAAAAATAAATAAACGGATAACACTACAAGTTATACGATAAAAACGTAATTTCAAAAAGCATTTAATGTAAAAAATCTCAAATAAAACTTGCTTTAAAATACTGCTTCGAATATTAACTGGACAATACTGACTGCGCAAACGGGAAAAGAATGAGGATGAGAGTCCATGATTGATTTATAAGATTATTTACGAGTACATTATGTACTTCATGATAACTTTTTCTGCTATGTATTGAGCAATATTTCAGAACATTCCAAAATGCCAAATTGTCACTGTAAGACTTACATCGATATAAAGCACAGCCTAAACACACTCCTAAGACGCTTAACTTACAGCTTATGAGAAATGCACAGGATTCTTCCAAATATTGTTGGTGAGGATACCAAACTGCTTTCCCTTGGTATTACAATTTAAAACGAGTAACCAAAACCGGTATTACAAAATTTTGCTATAAGAAATCGGGTCTATATAAAAGGATATTCCAAAATGCAGAATAACTACAAGACAATTTTAAAGTTAAAGAGTGCAATCAGAAAATGATTTAAAATAATGTGAGTAAACCGTGAGAAATTTACATATTCTTTAAAAATTACGCAAGGATAAAACCAATAAATCATTAACCTATAAAGTCTATAATATGAAAGTTTAAATGTTCGTTTTGTGTACGTATAAGAAAATATTTCATAGGAAATTTCTTAATAGTCATTAGGCGACCTAAATACATGAAAAACAATCAAGGAATAATAACATTCAACTGAATTGAGTATACTATATCGATATAAAATGCAAAAAGATGAACTAAATCAGTAAAATGTGAAATTATGATAAAAGTGTCCGTTACAATCGGAACTTACGAAGTATATGATATGTATGTGTTAAAGCTTTTACATATGGTTAAGTGGTGAGCAATATTTAATACTTAGTTTGTTAAAACATCAGCAGTAAAGTGAGATGAATGAATTTTAATTGCGAATAGAGAATTTAATATGGTTCAATTATGGCTTTTCTTCGGTATAATACCTATATGGAAAGTTTGAAATTTCGTTTTCGGGTATGTATAAGAAAATATTTCAGGGACATAGACTTTTATACATGAAGTACACTCAATTGATAATTTACAATCAATTAAATCAGATCTCGTGAAAAAACGTATATGTGGCCTAATCCATGCCGATAATATAAAACTATAGTTTGTTCAAATATAGCCGTGGAGAATTTAAATATAATGTGCTATGACCGTTCTTCAGTACAAATAAAAAGCTTCAAAGTTGGTTTTTGGGTATGTATGGGAAAATATTTCAGGGACAAAAAATTTCTAAACAGTTATAGGGCGGACTTTATACATGAAGAACAATCAAGGGATAATAACATTCAATTGAATAAGAATGGTGAAAATATATTATATCCGCAAAGCTGATGATAGAAAATATAAAAAGATGAGCTGAATGAGTAGTACTAAACCGTGGTAAAAGTGTCAAGTTACGAATTATTATGTTTTGTATTCTAAATAATGCTTGTGAAGTGAGTGGTGAGTATTATATCTATTACTTAGTTAACATGCAACATTACAGTGGAGTGAGATAAATACATTTTAAATGAGTGAATTTAAATATAATACACGAAGTATTTTATAGCAAATAGGTAACAGTAACATATCAGCTTCCATAATAATTATAAATTGTTATACACTTAAGTTTAGATTAGAGTGCCTATATCTTGTTTAAATATAGTGTATATTAATTAAATTGTTTAACCGAATCGCTCTTTATTCTTAACTTCATACATTCTGTAGGTTGCGCCAATTTATTTTGTCAGCAGGAATTTGAATGTGGAACAAGAGAAATGTATATACAAAGAAGTCGTTAAATCCATACCTTCTTTGTAATATTGAGTTATTTAAAGATTTACTAAAAGCCTGACAATAAGATATTATAATTTATTTACTAATGAAAGGAGATTACGTTTTTGCCAAAAAGATAGTTTAAAGCAAATTTAAAAAATTAATACTTTGATTTACGACGCCAGGTTTAAAAAGATTGAGGTAAATAATGTTCAGTTACCATCACAAGTTTCTGTTAACACATCTATAACAGGAATTCAAAGATTGATTTAAAAGAAAACACAAAGAAATAATAACGACAGAATTTCCTACAGAGAATAATATAAGGTAAAAATTAATAAATATAACTCTGAAATAATTATAATTTATATAATTTTTCAACTAAGCATAGGATGTTTTAATTATTTTTGTCAACAGAACTCTGTAGACTGGTAACTGGTTCTAAACGACAAGAAAGTATACATCGAAACTTAAAAAAATGCCAAATAGACGCAAGGAAACACTTCGAAAATTTCTTTTTAATGAAATACGTACTTACTAAGATTTGGTTATCGATATAATTAATAACAAACTACTTGTACATACTTCTGGTGTGGTACTTTCATTTTTTGCACAAGCAACTTCTTTTAAATGGTAGGATATGCGTGTATAATATTTTATTCACAGGTATGATTCAAAGCAATTTTTAAAAGAAAGAATGTCAGGGGAAGAAAACTTAATACAAGGTTAAAAATGTAAATAAATAAACAATAAAATTATGCATTGTATAATGACACCGAAAGTAGAAAATTGGCACACAAAATTGATAATATTTAAAGGCAAGTCGTAAAATTTTAGTGCCGAATATGACATATGTAACTACGTTCCAAAATAACTTTTCAGCTCAATTCAAACAAAATGAAACCGAAATGTAAGCAGAATTTAATAGACAATATTTGGATTGAAGTATTATGGAGGAGAAAGAAAGTAAATCTCGTATTTGATTAAAACCAGAGACATGATAAAAAGAAAAAACAGAATATAAATACTAAAGACCACGTAGACTAAACTATATTGATGATATTGCAAATAAAAATAGTTAAAAGGACTAAAGACCAAAAAATAAATACATGACTGATGACGTTGTGCGGACGGCGATAACTAACAAGTATGTGGAGAAGACAGTGTCTGATGACCCAGTGAAGTAAGATTAAGATTAAGAACCCGGCGGAGAAGTTGAAGACTGATGACCTAGCGAAGAATGAAGGCCCTATAGAGAAGTAGTAGATCGGGGACCCGGTGATGAAGATGAAGGCGAAGACGAAGACTGACGATCCAGTGACGAAGACGAAGATTGAAAACCCGGTGGAGAAGACGAAGGCTAAACAGTAAACACCCATTGAAAATACGAAGACTGATGACCCAGCGAACAAGAGGAAGACTGAAGATATATATAAGACAAAGACTGATAACCGTGTGTAGTAAATAGATAAAGATAAAGACTGAAGACCCGGTAGAGAACACTTTAAGCACAAGTTCGGCCTCACCTAGAAGACCCGATGAAGTAGACCAAGAGTGATGATTCGGCAGCGGATCAGACGAAGTCAAAGACCCCCCCCCCCCAGCGGAGAAGAGGAAGATTGAAGCCTAGCGGAGAAAATGAATATTGAAGACCTAGCGGCGAAGACGAAGACACAGCTGAGTAGACAAAGACTGGAAGAAGACGAACACGGATGACCCAACGGAGAAGACAAAGACTGAAGTTCCAGCGAGGAAGGCGAAGACTGAAGACCCAGCCGAGAAGTCGAAGATTGAAGACTCAGCGGAGAAGACGAAGATTGAGGACCTTGCGGAGAAGATGAAGACTGAAAATCCAGCGGAGAAGGCGAATACCGAGGACCCAGCGAAAAAGCCTAAAACTGAAGATCCAGCGGAGAAGAGGTGGATGGAAGTCTCGGTGAAAAGAAGAAAACTGAAGACTCAGCGTTGAACACGAAAACTGAAGACTCAGCGTTGAACACGAAGACTGAAGACACAGCAATGGAGACGAAGACTGAAGACACAGTAATGGAGACGAAGACTGAATACTGAGCGGTGAAGACGAAGACACAAGACCCAGTGGAGAAGACGAAGACTGAAGAGCCAGCAGAGAAGTTTTGCAGTTGTCAAAACTATACTGAAAAAAAGACTGTAGACCTGAAAACCCTAAAAGATAGACAGATATTGATGTCACGATGGAGGAAACTATTACTGAAAAAGACCTGGTGGAGAATAGACTGATGAATCTATGCAGAAAACGAAGCCTGAAGACTATGCAGAATATAACTGAAGGCTCTATGCAGAAGACAAAGACTGAAGTTTAGGCGTAGAAAATAAAGACTGAAAACTCTGTGAATAACTTAAAAACTTACAAGTAAAAGTAAATGTTCTAAACTAATACACTGCATAAATTGAACACTGAAGACCCATTGAATTATATAGTAGACTATGAAAACCAAATATAAACAATGCTATGAAAATTTTTAAAAACAATAACTGAAAAATTTAAAAGAATAGTAGAAAATAAATGAAAGCAAAAGCATAAAGCATGAATACGAAAGCGAAAGTAGGAGAAGTACGAAGTGAGAAGATCTAGGATAAGGACTGAATGAAGACCGAAGGCGAAACTTGAAAATCTAAAGACCAAATACGATGCCAAAATACCGAAGTTAAAGCCGAAAAACCAAAAATGTAGTCTGAAGAGAAAAGACGAACCTTGAAAATCGAAGACTAAGTATGAAGAGAGAAGACCAAGCTTGTAGAACGAAGCCGAATCCTTGAAGTCCGAAGACATAGCTTGAAGCTCTAAGACGAAATCTAAAGCCCGAAGACGAAGCCTGAAGCCCGAAGACTAAGCCTGGAGCCCGAAGATGAAGCCTGGGAAGCCCGAACACGAAGCCCGGAGTTGAAGCCTGAAGCTCGAAGACGAACCCTGAAGCCCAAAGACTAAGCCTGGAGCCCGAAGACTAAGCCTGAAGCCTGAATACTAAGCCTGGATTCCGAAGACGAAGCCTGTGAAGCCCGAAGAGGAAGCCTGAAGCCTGAAGCCCGGAAACGAAGCCTGAAGCCTGAAGACGAAGCCTAAAGCCTGAAGACGAAGCCTAAAGCCTGAAGACGAAGCCTAAAGCCTGAAGACGAAGCCTGACCCCAGATGACGAAGCCTGAAGCCCGAAAACGAGCCTGAAGCCCGAAGACGAAGCCTGAAGACCGAAGAAAAGACAAAGCCTAAAGACTGAAGGCTAAGCCTGAATACTGAAAATGTAGCGTGAAGACCGAAAACGAAGCCTGAAGATTGAAGAGGAAGGCATAAAACAAAGCCTTGTTATTTACCAAAGCGAAGCTAAATAACGAAAAGTAGGCAAAGAAAGAATGTGACAAACGAAAGCCACAGCAAAAATACACACAGAATACAATTTCCTATTTATAAACAACCAAGGCAGCTGATTAAGATAAAATCAAAAATATCAAATCATTAATCCATGATTCCATTATTCATATGACTCTTAGGTACTTGATTGTTTTTAATAAAAAACATTGAATTATTTTTTAAATAATATATGGAAAATAAATTGCATTTTTTTTTCAGATTCAACTATCCAAACGGCGATATCTTCACCGCCTCATGTATCAGATCGTTCTTCGTATGAAAACCCTAAACAGTAAAGAGTAGATGCAACCAAACAAAAGTGATTCTTACATCAAAATATGAATGAACTCAAACAAATACAATGTCGACGATATCCACCTAAAAAAAATATGTTTAATTCCGCCCATCCTTACCATGCATTTGATACTGAAGAAGATTACTTTTTCTAAAATAATGTACTTATTTGTAAATAACTATTTGTAATTAGTTTTTAGAAAATAAAATTCTCGAAAATTATTGTTTTGTTTAAAACAGTTTTTAATCGCACACACTTCTTTTGCGTTATAATAGAAATATCTTTTGCATTTACACTAAATGCTCTAAATCATTTCTTAAGACCGGGTACAAAGACAAATTACAATCCTAGATCAAAAGTAAAAAAAAAACAATAACAGAAAGTAAAAAAAGCAGTAATAGATTTTGACTCGATCGAGTATTCGAATCCGGAACCCCGCGTTTATTAATCGCGTTTACGACTACTAGATCGAGACAGTCGAGGCCAAGTAATGAAATTAGCGATATAAGGATGGCATTCTTCTTAAAAAGAGGGTGAAATAAGGCTAGCAAAAATAAAAAACTGCGGTTGCCATTCCGCTTACCTAGCGTGGCAACTATAGCAAATATCCACTCTGTGAGACAATCTATGGGGGAGGTCTATGTTCAGCAGTTTACTCGACAGCTTGTAACCGGTAGCCGGGTATGGAAGTCGGTATGGAAAGGAGGTAGGATCAACTAGTATCAGTATGACCAGGGCAAAACCCAGACTAATATTATATGAAATATACTCAGCAGTTATTATTTCGAAATAAAAGTAAAAATTTGCTTGTAAACTAACATTTTGGAAAGAAAGGGTAAAATGGATATTGGGCGAAAATTTTTGGGAGGAATGGGAGTAGGAAATATTGGAAGAGGCTATATAAAAGCCCTTTTCCAAAGGTTAGTGTACTGACATGAATCAAGGTAAAAGTTTATGATCACAGAATACCAGAGTAAAATAGCTGCTTAATACTACTGTGTTTCGTATGGTGAATTTAGAGAACCGGGGACCCGTTTTACTGGAAAGGTGGCATTCCATCTTAGTTCTCAGCGGTGACAACGAATCTGCATTTTGATTCCTAATCGTGGATAAATGTAGATTTCTATGGGCCACAGCATCCACTTACTATCAGGTGGACTATGTGCTCGTTTTTCACCATTCTTCTATTAAATAAAAAAGTAAAAAAAAATATGGGAAGTTACAGAAATAAGGTGGTCTAATATAAATACTACCATATGTCTACTAATCTCTCATCATAACCCACGGCCTTGGACTAAATTGCTAAAATAGACTTTTGACATCATTCTAAGAAACAAAGAAATATAGGAATGTTAGGAGTTTGCACAGAAACAATGGAAACCACAGTCAGAGAGCGAATGTAGGGTTCATTGCTTTTACAGAAGCGAAATGTTGATTGATTTCGTTGGCCTGCAAAAGACAAAAACGTCTAAGAAATTTCCACTCTAAGGCTCGCCACATACATACGGGATTCCGTTTCGATATTCCGATTCGGAATCCCGAACGCAGCAAGTCCATATAAAATCTATGATCCGCCACACACGTACGGTGTTTTCCGTTCGACATTTTGCGGGCAAAACGGGATTCCGTATGTGTGTGGCCGACCCGTTCGGAATTCCGCAACGGAATCTCGAAACGGAATTCCGTATGTATGTGGCCGGCCTTACGCCGGCCACATACATACGGAATACCATTTTGCCAGCAATATTTCGAACGGAAAACTACCGTACGTGTGTGACGGGTCACAGGTTTAAGGCCCGCCATATACATACGGAATTCCGTTTCGAGATTCCGTTTCAGAATTTCGAATGGTCGGCCACACACAAACGGAATCCCGTTTTGCCCGCAAAATATCGAACGGAAAACTACCGTATGTGTGTGGCGGGTCATTGATTTTATATGGACTAGCTGCGTTCGGGATTCCGAATCGGAATATCGAAACGGAATTCCGTATGTATGTGGCCGGCCTTATATGAACTTGCTGCGTTCGGAATCTCGAATCGGAATATCGCAACGGAATCCCGAAACGGAATTCCGTATGTATGTGGCGGGAGAAGAGTTCTTAATACAATTATGAAAATATCGGTGTTATATACTATTACGTAGGTATATACCATCTGATTGCACCTATTCCTGGCTGCTTTTTTTATTGGGATAAAAAAACAGTTACACGTTAATTTTATACAAGACAAATTATAAAGGAGTACTTAACGTGTAACCCACACCAATGCCCACAAAGTAATATTATATGCTTAGTCTTATGTTTAATACAATTGCGCAATGTATGACAGTGTAGATAATTATATACATCCATTATAGTCAGTTAGCTACTTAGTTATCATTCTTTTAAACTTCAAAGATGACAGAGCAAAAATATTACATTCTGTAAAGTGGGTATTATAATTATCTAAGAGACGGCGGCGCGGGGCCCGCGTTCCAGCGTTTATTTTACACCTCATGGTGTAAAACAACAGAGGCGCTCGCACTGGTGCCGAATCACAGTTCTCGGTACAACATAATATAACCTATTGGTGATATAACTACAGTCAAACCTGTTATGACACAACCCATGCAGCATCATGACCATAATAAGCGATCGTCTAGATTCCAAAATTAGTAGTATAAAATGTTTTAATAATTGTACGTATGGAATTCTGGAATAATAACACTAATAACAATATATATTGCGTAAAAAAACCATTTCCAATTTATAAGTATATTTTTTGTAGAAGGGCCTCCAGATTGGTACAGCGTATTCTAATTGTGAACGAATGAGTGTTTTGCGAAGAATTAAGAAAGTAGATGATCGTTTAAAGTATTTAGAGTTTCTCATGATAAAACCATAATGTTTAAAAGCTTTATTGATTTTGTAATCGATATGGTAATCTAAATGTAATTTCGAGTCCAGCATTAAACAAAGGTCTCCGACTTTGTTAACTTTTTGTAAGGGTATGCGATTGATACAATAATTAAGGTGTTTTGTTCTTTGTAAAAGATATTACATTACACTTGGGCAGACTTATGTGTAGCTTATTATTATCTAAACAGTACTGAGAAAATCATTTTGAAAAAGTGAGCAGTCGAGAATGTTTTGGCATTTTTTTATAAATTTTAATATCATCAGCGTACATTAATAAACGAGAATTGTTGAGACAGACCTTGAGGTCATTTATGAATAAAGTAAAGAGCAGTGGGCCCAAAATCGATTCTTGGGGTACACCGGAAGTCACAACAGTAGCTAGATTTGTAACCATTTATCTTTACCTTCTGAGTTCTGTTAAATAAATCAGATGTGAACCAACGCAATAGATTGCCACGAATTCCATTAAATGTAATTTTATCCATAAGTAATTTATGATCCACCTTGTCAAAAGCCTTCTGAAGGTCAGTGTATACAACATCAGTTTGAACTTTATTATCCATGTTTACGAATATTTTTTATAAATGTTAATAGAGTAGTAGTAGTGGAACGGCGTTGAACAAATCCATGTTGTTCAATGTTCAGATATAATTAGATGATGAATAATTGGATATAAAGTATTATGTTTTTTACGTGGTAGTATAGTTGTAGCACGAATGGATGGTGAAGTGGACCGGGGAAGGACCACGCTCTCATAGAATACCAGCGTAAAATAGCAACTTAACACTGCTGTGTTTCATATGGTGAGTGTAGAGAACCGGAGACCCGTTTTACTGGAAAAGAGGCATTCTATCTTAGTCCTCACGGGTGACAACGCATCTACATTTTGATTCGCAAACGAGGATGTAGATGTCTATGGGCCACAGCAACCACTTACCATCAGGTAGAGTGTGTGCTTGTTTGTCACCCTATCCTATAAAAAAAATGTACTGACCTTTCAAAAAGCTTTGACTAGATGGATACTTTTGAAATAGGTCTATAATTCTCAATATTACTTTAATCGCCACTTTTATACACCGGATTAATTATAGCACTTTTCCAAATATTTGAAAAAATGCCTTCACGTACACATTTGTTGAATATAATATGAAGTGGAAGTTTGAGGTAGTCTGCAGTTTTTTTAAGAAAAACTGGAGGTAAGCCGCCGAGACCGGGTCTTTTATTTAAGTCTAAATTCTTGCGCAACAAATATTCTCTTTTGTAAAATATATGTCGCATATACAAAAATTTAGACTTTGAATTATCTGCAAAGTTATTAGAAGGTTGCCAGTGATTAGGATCCACGGTACACAATTCATAAACAGAAGTGAAAAATGCAAAAAAAAACAAATTACATATTTCTGTGGGATTATTAGAATTGACGTATTTAAGATGCACAGATACATGTTAGTAGGAAAATTGGATTTACCTTTTCGATTAGAAATATATTTCCAAAAATTCTTAATATAAATAGGTATACTATCTTCAACCAAATCCATATATCTTTGATAACATTTACCAGATTCGGACTTAAAACATTTACGATAAACTGAGAACTTTTCATAATCAGAAATGATACCAAATGTCTTCCATTTCATCCAGGCGCGTTCTTTATCTTTAAAGTTACGAATAAGAGTGGGAGAGAACCAGACCGAGAAACGAGAATTTTTTTGGCCGTTTAAGAGGCACATATAAATTAACAATATTGTATTGAGAGAGAACGAAGTGTGAAATATGGGTAAATCAGGAATGTCTAGAACAGGTAAATGAAATTGTATACTTGGGGAGTGCTTTTAGCCAGGATGGAAGATGTGATTTAGATGTGGACAGGCGTGTCGCTGCCGGGAACAAAGTCAATGGTGCCCTGACTGCGTTAGTCAAAAGGCAAGGCGTAGCGAAGAGTGCACGCCTTGCAATACATAACGCAGTGTTGGTACCGACTTTGTTATATGGCAGCGAAACCTGGGTATGCCAGAAGAAGCATAAAAGTAAGTTGAATGCAGTGGAGATGCGATCTCTTCGTAAAATGTGCGGCGTTACCATGGCCGACCGAAAGCGAAACGAAGAGATTCGCAATATGGCAGGTTTGAAAGATGACCTTATCACAAAAATTGATAAGGGCGTGCTTCGGTGGTTTGGGCACGTTGAGCGAATGAGTGAAGACCGAATGGTGAAGAAAATATATAGCGCGAAAGTTAATATTAAAAAGTGTCGAGGTAGACCGAGACTAACTTTCGAAGACCATGTGAGCAAATTGCTCGAAGAGGGTAGGGTCAAGAGTACTCGGATACCTA